ATTTCTCCTCACAATTACAATTTACAAATTGCAAACTTCTCTGCCTTAAAAAAGTACAAGAAATAAAAACTAAAACAAGAAAGAAAAACACAACCACCTAGGGAACTTGAGCAATAAATAACAAATTCATAGCCTCAAAAAGGAGTAAATGGCTTTGCAGCATAATCAACAAACATCGTGGCCTGTGGAATGAGGTACCACCCTCTTGATGTGGCATCTTCAAGGCATGGTTTCACATTAGAGACAGTCAAAATAGAGTCAAGTAGAGACGACAAAGAACAATGGAAAAAAAAAATTCTTATAATGCTCCACCCCTCCCTACCTTTTGAGTTGTATGTATTTGTACAACTGTATACCCATGAACAAATGATTTGGAACCATGGAAGACAGATTCTGATTATAAAAGCAAGGAATAATACGAGGCATCAACTCACAGTTTTGCGTGCATGATCTTGACTGACATCTTCAAGTACAAGCTCTGGTTGTAAAAGCATCCTTGACTAACAGCATTAGAAAGGGAGATTAATCAGTTCTTCAAGTCAAATTTTAGAGAATGAGGAAACCAGACAAATTGAGATTCCCACACAAGTTTAAAATGAAATAAGTCTAAAAATGTGTAGCCATAAAAAAATGATTGTATATTTTAACAAGCAATTAGCCAGAGCCCAAGGTATGACCAGGATTGGGGAATAAACAGAATCAGTTACCTTAACACAGCTAGAACTGAAACAAGCCACTGCAACTTTTTAACATTCATTATCTTCTTTAATTATTAAATCCCAACTGTAATAAAATAGATACTAAGCCTAACCCTATTGAGCACCAGGAGCCATAGAAAATAAGGAGAGGAATGAGTTTCTTGCAAAACATGTACCTATTTAGTATTTACCCATCTTTAAAAGAAATATACTCACTATAGAGTCAGCAAGCAAGCAAAGAGATTAATACAAGCCAAACTGAGCCAAAAATGTGAATACGGGCTTCACATATGGGCTTAGCTGGTTCGTATGCACCCTTCCCTACTCAAGCTAGATGTTGGCTTAGAGACACTCCAGCTAAGCTGTCAGCTCAATTAATTAGTTTCTTCTTGAAGAACTTGGTCTCCAACAACTACATTTGATATATCTCCACTCTTTTGGAATATCTGTCACTCTTCTTTTTCTTGATCTCCCAGTGGTCTTCTTCACCACTTGTTTTTCGCTTTGTTGTTTTATTGTCATTTTCATTAACATATCTAATTCTCAAACAAAAAAAATAAAATAAAAAACTCAGGCATACGATCGTAGGGAAAAACACTCTGAGTTTATTTCATTGGACTATTTAGCTCTATAAGTCAAGCTAGGAAGCAACTAAAATTAAATGTTTCTGTTTCCTGTGAATTGGATGCTTGCTGTTTCTTGAGATGATTGTACTCCTTTTGTTGTCCCTTAATGTTAGTTGCATGCCAACCATTTTGTACCCCTATTGTAATTCCGACATTTTTGTATATTTGGTGACAGCTCATTCACCCCTATTGTAATTCCAACCTTTCAGAAGTTTTTCTTTTTCCCTTATTTTCATTTGAAGCTCAAAATGCAGCCTCCAGCTTGATAAATTGGGCTGAAGAACATTCTTAGCATGCAAAACTTTAACTGCCTCAAGTTGAATACCAAATGACATAAACTCTTGACAATCATAGGAACCATTCAAAAGAAAAATTGCTAGTTACTGAAACTAACCTCATCATACCCAGTAAGCCACACTCGAGGAGTCTGGTAGTATTTATCATACCTGCAAGTGAGTAACATAAATAATGTCATTGATGCCAACTTTAAATTAACTACACAGACCGACAAACTGAAGCAATCTTCAATTGCCTCACGATTGAATTATCCTGAAAGCTACTTCATTATCATAGAATTTTGGACCTGGTAAAAGGAAATATGCTACCGAGTTCAAATGTGGAAAATGTTGGACCTGGTAAAAAGTTAAAACAAAAAAATAATCTTACGTTATGCTAACATCATATGTTCGGGTTCGTAAAATATTGTCATCGTCAGGTTCATGAGCAATAAGATATGTTCCCTGCAATATAACCAACACACATGACATGCTAAACTGATGGAGCAAGCATCAATTTCATGGTCAATATGCATCATAGCCATGAGTGTTAAAGGGACAAGAACCATCTTTTTGCTCCAACTAAACACTTACAGGATCAAATTCGATGTTGTCAGCTTCTTCAAAGTCAGCCATGTCAGGAATATCATCTTCATCTTCTGCTCCAACATGCGAGGGGACTGACTTCACATCCCTATTCTTGCTGATTTCAAAACTTTCAATGGAGGGTAAGTTTTCCTCCTCACCACTTCTATCTTATAAAGATAAGAAAATGTCTGAGTAAATGGTTCTGCGAAAGTATGGATAGCACTTTAACCAAAGTAACCTACCCTTCGGCTTCCCATGCATTGCCAACCAGCCATCATTATCTTCATTATCAAGAAGAACTTCCATACCAGCAGCTTCATACTCCTCTTCCAAATATGCAGCCCTTCGTAAGCATGGCACTGAATGAAAACAAACAGATTACCCGGCGTAGATAAAGGTACGAGGAACAAGTAATGGCAGCAGTCTCACAGAGCTTAGATGTGAAGCATAGAGGCAAGCGACTTCGCACACACATGCATAAATTGAGAGAGAGAAGCAACCGAGCGGACACACAATAATAGGCGATTAGCTCATATGATTCTTGACTCAGTGTAGATTATGGAAACTAATTGAGGTAACTTAACTTTGTGGAAGACAAAACTTTCCTTTCTTTGGTTTTCTTTCATTTACAACGAAAAGGAAAAGGCAGAAAACACTAAGCACACACTACCATTACTCATATGTTTGAACATTATGTTCTATGCAAGAAAAGGATGGTAAGGAAATAGCGCAACACGATGTCACTGTACCATTTCTAGTAATCAAATACTGCTTCTCCGGTGGTAAGTACGGCTTCCTCTTGCTCGGTTCACCAGATTCCCTAACACCATATCAACAGGACGGAAAATCAAAACTGGAAAGTAAGATAACAATTGAAACCCTTAATACCAAAACAAAAATCAAATGTGAAGAAAAAATAGACACGCAAGTTAAAGTCGAATGAAATTAACAAGAATTATAGCCACAATTTATCATCTTTCTGCAATTTTTATCTGATTAAAAATTGAATTTTAACAAAAAAAAAACTTTCGATGCTCAGGTTAATGAAAAATCACATTTTTAAACTAAAAAAATCAATTATGTACTATTTATTTTAGCTTTTATTTTGTTCTTATAGTCAAAACTCAAAGTTTTCAAACCCTTTTCATTAGTTTCCTTTGAATTAAACCTCGAATTTCAGAAAATTTGAGAGAATTAATCAAAATTGGAATTTGGAAATAAAATTTAAAAACTTGAGAGAAAAAGAAAGGGGAAATTTGAATACCAGGACCAGGTGGGGCACTTGGAGACGAGGTTATCGCCGGCGGTGACGAACTCGGAGACGCTGAGAACGCCTTTCTCTTTGAAGGCGGAGACGGTGCGGGGACCTGTGATTTTTTCGACCGTTCCTTTGAAGGCCTCGTGCAGCTTCTGTTTCAAAACCATCTCCTTTCTCTCCTAAATAAACAATCAAAGTCGCTCCTTTGCTACAGCCTTTTGCGTTCAGCAACAGAGGGGGTAGAGACGATACCGTGGGTAAGAATACTACATGCTATATGCTACATGCTATATGCTATATATATATATATATATATATATATATATATATATCCTAGAGATATTAGGTTTGATTATTGTCAAAGCGTCGTATCATTGCTAGACGGCTAACCCACTCATCTTTCACTAGATAATATCGTTTATTTAAAAAATTATTATTATTATATCTGTACACAACTGATATGGTAAATCATTTTTTAACCTCATAGCATACACATGTTTTATCTTCTTCTGTGTTTATGAAAAATAAAATAAAACGATATCGGATGACGACGAATGTCAATAGTTGAACTCGGCATTTTGAATGTAAGAGTGAATGTTCTTAACAAACTAAACTACAAATCTCTTGTTATAAAAGAAATCTCTCCAAACAATAATATTAAATAGAGATGAGAGGTTTGAACTTAGGTCATTCCATATAGTTACTTGAATCACAAGTGTCTTGTATAATACGGATTGACATTAAATATAAAATATTTCTATACAAGTGACCTAATATTTTGACACAACTAAAAATTCTACTTTAGTGTGTTTTTTAGTACAAATAATACCAAATGAACATGAAGAATTTGAACTCAGGACGAGAATATAGCGGATTGCAGACCAAAGCAGCACTACATTTTGATGAAGAGCTTAAAGGCCAATTGGTTACTCACATACTGTTTTCCCATAGTTAAGGACATGAATAAGAAGAAGAGTGATTTCACACTTTTTAGCTTCTCAAACCTCTCTTTATTTTTGGCTACCAGAATGAATAAGTCAAACAAAATCAACGGTCAACGGTCAAGATTAAAAAAGGTGTGAGAAGCATAAAGAGAGGTATGAAAATCACTTTTCAAAAAGAGAAACGGGGTTACTTTTCGAGAAATTATATTCACACCCCAAATTACTTTTCACACACTTTTAATTTTTTAATATTTTCTACACACCACTAACGCTTGATAGAAAAATATTAAAAAATTAAAAAGGTCTGAGAGAAGTAATTTGGGATGTGTGAATATAATCTTCTTGCTTTTCTGCTATTCTTTTTTGAGAATCGATATACAAATGGGTGCTCTGGTAAACTCGGATGAATTTGTTACTGAAGGTGCAGAGTCATTTTCTCCTTCAAACCGGTCTGTTTCCTCTCGCGCCTCACCTGTCCCTTCCGCACCCTTTCATTTTTCCTTGTAACCAACCAAGCAAGCAAGAACGCCGACAGGCTCACAACTCTGAAGGCTTAAACCGAACGTACAAAGAACAAATGGTGAACAAAAAGGAAGTCTACAACTAATAAATGAACAAAACCGAGACCGTCTTTGCATTTATAACCAAATGAATAATCAATCTCAGTAACATTTACATACCAACTGCTCTTACCAAATGACAAATTAAACAGCAAAAACAAGGCTACTTTAGACAACTCCCTAAATATCAACTAAAATCTGTACAGCCAATAGCTCGGACACAGCTTCATCTGTTTTCAGCAGAAACAAAAGCCCTCGGGTACAAATAAACACCGACTACCAGTCCCCAACACAATATCTTGTTCTTTTATGATCACGCGGGTAAAACCGCCTCTGGGAATACAATCGGTATGACAAGATCAGATAAATCTGACGATAAGGTGAGATTCTAGGGCTCCAACCAGTTAAAAAGGGCAAAACCAAAAAGAGTTTTATACTTCACTGAAAAACTCAGTTCTATTACCATCCTAGAAGCAGAACCAGAAAAACTAAGGTTATTTGTACTGATTCATGAGGGGAAGGGAGAGCTACTTTTCTAAACAGAGCTTTTCTAATTTTCACTACGATAACAATTACATTTGAAGCTGCAAGAGCCCATAATTCAAGTCTCGGATCGTTTGCACTTGCCTCACATGCATGATGCTGATCTCACGAAAGTTTCATCCGTCTCCTTTTAGATGTATACAGGTTTTACATCATTAGGTCCAAAGCTCACGGCACACCTCGGGCACTTCCTCTGTCGAGTTTCAAGTACTTTTTTCACACAAGGGTTGCAGAACAAGTGATAGCATTTTGTAATGACAACCTGGGCATTCAGATAAAGAAAAGAAAATAAGTGCTCTACCAGAGACACCAAAATAACGATGATGATTATAGTAACATAAATTTTCCTATGACTGACTGGCCACTGGCATCTGAACTTTAACATTTCAATTCCGAAAAGATAAGGATGGTGGAAGAGGAAATAAACAAATAGCAAAAAGACTTTAAAACCACAATTGTTGATTGGGGAAAGCTAGCAACCTTCTCATTTCAACCTTCTCACTTTTATTCATGCCTCGTGTATTCCATTAGCAAGCAAAACTAAAACTTTAATTACTTAAAAAGTAGAACTTTAATTATATTAAGAAAGAAAGAAAAATATTGGGATTTAAATATAATTACAATTTTAGTTTTCGGTGTCAGTTTATTACACTTGGCATGAGTAGAATTGAGAAGGTAAGTGAGAAGGTTGTTAGCATTTCTCTTGAAAATAATGCGTTCCATTTCACATACAAGTTGCCTTCGCTTAAAATTAAATCCACATTTGTGATGCTTCATATATCATTCGATGCCCTTATTCTTTACTTTCTATTACATTTCAATGTAAAGTCAGACCGATGTTCACATTTTCCTAGTTGCTCCACATATTAACTGTCATAGCATCTGATATTTGGACCTTTTCAGCTCCAAAAGTTGATATTTTAGACTTTTAACCATCTAAAATCTAAGAATTGCTGAACTGGAAATAAAGTATAAATAGAAGTTATTTCAGCTAATACCTGTTTTGTCCTGTCAAGGCAGACATCACACTTCAGTATCTCCTTGTATTCTCCAAGTTCCTGTTGAAGCTTTTCAACAATTGATGAAGCCTCCGTCTCTGCTCGAAGCCGTGAAGCCTTTCTTTTTAAAACTTCCAGTTCCTCCTCTTTTCTTCTCTTTTCAAACCTATTGAATAACAAAGTATGAGTTGACACCACCACTATAAAAACATTTGCAGGAGGGGGAGCAGAACATCCACCATACCGTTCCTTCTCTAGTTCCAACTGCAGCTCTGACAGACCCTTTCGACTTTCTCCAACTTTAGATTGTGATGCGGCTAAAGCCTCCCGTAACTGCTGAGATTGCCTTCGGACTTCTAACAATCTCTTTTGAGTATTTTCCAACGTAATTTGTTTTTGCAACTTATCTTCTGCTACTTTCTGAACATGATCCTTGCATATTTTCAACTGTAAAGAAAGAATCGAACAATCAGTTTAACTTAACTCTATATGAATCAAATTTAACGTTTTACAGAAGATTCAAAAGTACCTGATCTTCGATTCGAGCGGCTTTCATGTTATAGAAATTAAGAGAATGATGGCCTTGTTGAATCTCCCTCTCCATTTTCCTATTGTCCATGAGTACAGCATTCTGCTGTTGTCTTGCCCTTACCCCCTCTAAAACAAGCTGCAACAAGAGCCACAAATTAAAACCTAATATTAGAACATGTTTATAATCATTCAACACTTTAGCATGCCACATGTGGACTGATGCCTGTGAGTATTTTTGTTCCCCTTCGGTATTACTAGCATATAAAATTTAACCTTCAGACAAAAGAAAATGGCAAGTCAATCACCTTAATGTTATAGTCATCTCTCTCGGTAATTTGCTGCAGTAGATGTTGGTTTTGCGTTTGCATATCATCATATGCCTGTCCAATTGTCTTAAGAAAAATCAAAATAAAATGTCAGAACTATCCAATGACAAAGGAAAACTCTCATCCGCATATGCTGAAGAGCACTAACCTCAATTTCAGATAAGTATGCCTCATTTTCTTCATTTTTGGATTTCAGAACATCAGAAAGTCTCAAAATATCCCTGAAATGCCGAGAGAAGGAAAAGTCAAATTTCCTCTACGCAATAATCATGTCGAATGGAGAACTAGGAACAGCCAAACAACAGTGTACTAGTTACCATTACAAACTAAATGTAATCTATAATTCCATTGGGTTTTGATCTCGTTTTAAGCCCATATAAAGTAGGAAACTCACATAAGTGTGCATAAAGTTGTCAATCCCATGAGTGAGTTGACACAATCAATCATTTTTTGAGATGAAGGATGAATTGAACTATGGAGAATTATTCCAATGCTTCAAATAAGTACGACGGTTCAAAGTGAACCATATACATACCAACTCCTTATTTTAGGCTTTTAGCTCATTGAGATTCCACAAGTAATAAATAAATAAATTACAGGGATTCAATAAAAAGTAACTAAGACGAAGAACGAGAGCTCAATCATATTTTGTTGGTCCAAATCGAAAATGAAGGGAAAGAGTAGAATGCTTCACCCATGCAAGCAGTTAAAACCCAACCAGAAGACCCAAGGCTTATGTTTTCTTAGTTTCTAAAAAACCCTTTAAACATCATACTAATCCTAGCATTTCTCTCGAACCAAAACACGACATTCAGCAAATTTTTTGGATAGTGCTATTCACACATCCATTTTTACCTCCCATACACCCTTGTTAATTTTTGGCCATGGATCTTCCTCAATTCATTTAATCCGACAGCCGAAAATTGAGAGGGGTGTGTGAGAAGTAAAATGGGTGTATGGATAGCACTATCCATTTTTTGTTTGAAGTTGGGTAATTAGCTCATTGCTCCATTGCTTGAAGTTGGGTAATTAATCATGAATGTCCACAGCTATTCATAAAGAAGAGAACTATTGTTCTTTTAATGGAGGATAAAAAAGTAAAGAGTTTTATGGGACTCTGGTGTAATGGTAATGTTCCGGATGGTTTGTCTACAAAGAAATATCAGGATTTTAAGATAAATTTGGACAATGAAAAAATTGTTTTGGGTCTCAGTTTCTAATGACTCTAAAGAGTGCCCTTTCTTGTTGAATGTGAACAATTACTTAGATTTCTTTGATGTTCTTTGGCCTGCATGTGTTGCAGTTTAAGACTGTCTCTTGATTAGAGGGTGTTATGTTTTTTTCCACTGCATTGTATTATTTGATACATCTTTTAGGTAGAACACTGATTCAATGTGTCTCTACTCATTTCATACTATCTGTTTCCTATCATGCAATTAAAAACCTAGTCAGAAAAAGTGTAACCTTTTGGAAGCTTCAAATTTCTGTCTCAAGTCAGCAATCTCAGCTTCAGCAGCAGCTAGCCTTTGTTGAGAAATAGCCTCAGCTTCGTTTGCTCTCTTAACCCGTAATTCCAAGTTGCGTTCGTCAAGAGAGGACTTCAAACTTTCAACATGAGCCCATGCCTTGCATTCTGAATCTCTAGCTTCCAATACATCCCTGCAAACAGAAAAAATCCACACATCAAACACATGTTACATTTGCACAACGAAACCAACACATGACAAGAAAATCAGCCGTTATTGTATAATCACATTAATTTTATGGAACTCATTTATTACAGTAGTGTTATAACACTGTTGAACAAAAGCCATCACTATGCATGTGAACTGGAACATGAGATCTCAAAAATTCACTTGAATCAGATATGGAAACCCAGCTGCACCCTTTACAAAATTTGCATTGATTTAGTTAATAAAACAGAAACGATTTTATTTCAGAAAATACAAAGCACATTTCAAAAAGTCTGAGTAGATGGTTCAAGTGTCATTCTTTGCACAATATGTAAAAGGGAAGTAGTGAATAACTAAATAACCGAAAACTAGTACAGGCACTTTACCTTGAATCAGTCAACTCACGTCTATACATTTCCAAAATCAGATTTAACTCTGACTCGCTTTCCTTTAAATCTTGGACCTACACCAAATAAATGAGAGAAATGAAAACTTGATGAAGCAAAACAAATCACATGAGGGCAAAAAAGTACAAAGCAAATTTATAATCTGAGAGCCACTGATATCTAATACTATACGAACAGATGCAACTCGATGGGTGTGGCTATCTAAAATGTACATATGCATGCGTGCCAAGGAAACGAAGTTTATAAAATGTTCAGAACGGAAGGATCGTATACCTGTACTATAATAAATGCTAAGCACCTCAACTTTTATTTTTATTTCATTTAAAACCACGCATTAGGAACCCAACAAGCAAACCAGACAGTTATATTATGTGTTCTCATCATCTTCCATAGGCCATTCAATATAAAACCGTAGTTTCAACTATTAGTCTTCGGATTTTGATCCTCACACTCTGTGAGCATGGATTTCCTACTCAATGGGGAGCAGGAAATTAAAATCCAGTATATACATTTTTTTTTCCCAAACGTGTATACATATATACATCACTTTTCTAGGAGAACTTTCAATCGAAATAGTTCCTTATAGTTGCTACCCTTTCACTCAAAGAGTGGCCACCGAATATGCTGCCTTTCCTAGTTGCTAAACTTTTCTCTTTGGGATTACAAGGTGGGTTTTCCAAACATGTGCCGCCATTCATATATTGAAGTACCAATCTCCATCGTTCTAATAGAAATAACATAAAAGAACCAACAAATCTGATGAGGATTGACACCAATTGATTCACTTCAACTTTCAAAACTACTTGCTCTCAAAGTCTCAATACAAGTGGAAGGTACGTATTTCTATCATCAGGACTTTTATTAATTTTAAACAAGAAAACTACAAAACAAGACAGACAAGAAGTCTGCCGTGGGCATGCCAATTAAAAACAAAGAAAGTCCACCAATCCAAACAAAAACAATTATTCGGAATAGCAGACCAATCTAGATATATTAAACTAATATTAGTGAAGCTTTTAGCATATCCAACATATCAAATGGAAATGCAATCACTTCCACCAAACATAACAGTCGAAACATAAAATAATATTCATACATTCAAAAAGAAAATAGAGATAGTCCAACACAATTGCTTAGAGATGACTCTTTGAATTTTATCCCAATAATAAAGGCTACATAAAAGTGCTCCTTGTACACGAACAAACTTAACAAAAATCCTAGGTCAAATAAGACAAGCTCACAAATTCAAGTCTTCCATCTCATGATAGCCTTAACATAAATTCAGTCACAAGATCAAGAAACACATACCACAACATTCAACTTTTGTATCTCAGCATCTTGATCTTTGGATCTGGCAGATAAAGTCTCACACTCTTTCACCTGTTTATAAAGGCAAAGGTTAACCTATTTCAATGCAACCAAACTTTCACTACATAATAGAAATACCCACCTTCCTATTAAGGATGCTGGATAGAGACTGCACATCAGCCTTCAAAGAATGAAAATCAGAAGCAGCCTCTTTGTATTTACGTAATTGAGCTTGCATGGTGCCCATTTTCTCAGGAAATGATGAAACCAAAGCTTTAAATTCTTTAATGATTTCTTTTCTTCCTGAAATAGAGAACATAATTTCAGCATGTATACTGTGAACAAATGCAAGAATTCCACAGTTCAAAAGAAAAGCATCAGATATCCTCTAACCTGGTTCTCTTGATGCCTCTTCGAGCTTGGCTTCAATCATTTTTCTTTCCCCAATCTGTTTCTGTATTTCTGCACCTAGATCAGAAATTCTAGATTCAACAACTGCAGAAGATCTTCGAAAAACATCAGCAATGTCACTCTTGACATTAAGCTCCCTCTCCCTCCACACAAGATTATCCTTCTCAGCCTATTCCATGGCAAAAGAAAAAATCAGCATTACAACACTAAACTTTCAAAAAAATTACAGTTAAAGGCATTAACTGAAACTACCGACCAGTTACAACCTGTAGTTTCTCAAATAAGGCCTGGCACTCAAAAACTTCTGACTTTGATTTTTCTATTTGATCTCTCACCAAGAGATAGGCTTGGGAAGAAGAAATACACATCACATTCTTAAGCACGTTCTGTCAATAAAATATCCCAATTTTAGTAAAACAACTGAATATGAACTAAAAAAAGTGCAAGAAATTAAAAGTAAAGTTGGACTTGCATTGACATAGAAAACGACAATAGTAGCACAGTAAAAGAACCTGCAAACTAGATAACTGCTGTAATATTTTTAGCCTTTCTTCATGAAGGCCTTTGATGTCCATTAGTCGAGATGAAGCTTGGTCCTGCAGAGCTTAAATCAATTGATAAGCTTACCCCATCCAGTATAAGTTTTCAGAAGTCAGTCAAAAAATTCAAGAAGAGAAAATCCATCACAATACCATTAGATCCTTGAGAGTAGACTCCATATCTTGCAGATCTTTTTGCTTATCTCTTACCCTATCAACATGCTTATTCCCAACATTTAGAACTGGAGAAACTGTGCCTTTGCGGTAGTAACTGTCTGTTTTAGTTGACAATCACTGTCTTCTAATTCACCAACTACAGTTTTTAACTCCCCTTCAAAACACAACGAAAACATAACCAACTTTCAGAACATTCAAAGACCTATCAAACCATGAAAAGCTGCCACCATCCAAAGATTCTTCCTTTCTACTTTATGAAGGGCAGGTGATTAAGCAACATTTTGTTTGTGGGAAACAGCAGTGCATTAATACAAAGTGAAAAGAAATAAGTGCAAGAAAAAATGGAGAATTCTGCACCTTAAGAAACTAACAATCTAGAACGCTCATAGAGAAAGAAACTGTTAGGTTTTTCCAGCCCATGATAAGTTATCCTAAATCTATAAGGAATTATAGTCTTAGAGGATTAAATTGTTTTCCCAATTGGATGTTGTTTACCCAATTGGAGTTAGTTTCTCAATTGAAGTAGGATTTATAACTAGACTCCAATTAGGATTAGTAATCCTTATTGAAGAACACCTTTATTATGTCTATATAAAGGGGCTATTGTACTAGTTTTGAATGTAAGGGAGCAAAACAATAAATTGTATACCACTCAAGGGATTAGAGTGAGAGAATATTGTAAAGTGTGTGCGAGAGAAAAGAAAAGAGATAGTGTATTTCTTGTTCTTGTTCTTTCAGGTTTTTTGTCAAGTCCTAGCTCTAGAGATTTGGCAAGATTATTGGTTGTACTCATTATTGATATAGTGAAAGATTGTTGTTGCTGTCCCGTGGACGTAGGCACATATTGCTGAACTACGTAAATTCTTGGTGTTATTTATCTTGGCTACTTGTTTTTCAATTTCCAGAGATTGTTCTATTTTTCCCATTCTTAAACGCGATACTCTCAACAGAAACTCTCATTGTGGGGAGGAGAAGATACCAACCAAGGTGGATTATTAGACTCTTACATCCTGGAGAGACAGACTACCCACGAAGGACAACATTAATAATCAATGCGAAATCCACCCCCCCCCCACCCCAACAACGCTCTCCACCCTGACCCGCTTTGCCCTTCTCAACCCCAAAAAAGATACAAAAATTAAATGTAAGTATATATATATAAAGAAAGATGGAGCAAACAAGGAGAAATGTTAAGAAAGTATTTGGCAAATTATCTCACAGGTTGGTAAAAAGCTGTAAAACACAATAGGTATAAAATTTTACCTTTCAAACGTTTAAGCTCAGCTTTATTCTTTGCATCCAAGTCACGGTGGCTCTGCAGTTCCCTTGCCAATGTTCTGTGCTTCAAAAACATATCGATAAAGGCCAATCTCAAGTTCTTAACTTCATTTTTAAAGTCAGTCGATGTCTTCTGCCTACTTGTGCCTATCAAAAGAAGCAGTATACAGAATATATGAGGAGTAGGTTTCAAAGGAACTAGATCATAACACATTTGAAAGACATCTAATCTAAACTCTCACCATCTTCTGGAAGCTCTTTCACAAGTGCATCATACAATGCATCCTTCACACACCACTGGTTGTCAATTGCAGCTACAACATTACATACAATATTCTTAGTCTTTTCACCAGTAGCACCTTTATCTTCTTCCATCTGATTAGAACTTTTATATGTACATGAACTTTCAGTTGCATCTGCTTGTGCAAGACGGTTAAGAAAAGCATCCTGCAATGCAGATGGAGCGCCATCTGACAAACAATCATAATAAAATAAAAAACCATTAGTTAACCAACTCAGGACTTTTACACCGACTACCAAGTTTAATATACAATATACACACACAAACTTCAGAAAGCTAAAACCAGAATTAACTAAGCATTTTCATCATGACTACATTGAACACAAGTTTGATCCTCACCTTCCATGATGGAAATGTCTTTAGCATCTTTCTGACTGTTCGATTCTCTTGTACGGATGGAACAAGATTCCAAGTCATTAACCATCTATTGTTAAAAACATATTGTACAATTTCCCACAATCAATATAGAGTACCATAACCATAACACCAAGGACAACAGAATCATAACAGATAAGAAGGAAATAGAGAACAATCACACCACAGAGTGTCCTACCTCTTCCCAAGACTTATTGACCACTGTTAATATGGAATCATATGCCTTTTGTTTGTCCTTCATTTGAGAAAATTTATTCTCAAGAATAGAGTGCTCCATCTTCTGAGTCTCTAACTTCCGCGATAGATTTTGATTTTGAACTTGCATGACAGTAATGTTAAGCTACAAGTCAAAATATACAACATAAGTTCAAAAAACACGAAGATTACATGTATTTATGTATTTCAGCTAGCTGATCGTATATATGCCAGTAAAAATGTCTATCAGCTTTCAAGAGGGAAGTGAAAGGAAGATATGCATAAATCTTACATCACTTGAATAGATGATTGACAAGAGCATTTGGTCCATTTGTTAACTCGTCCCCAAAAGAGGACAGATTTGAAGCGAATTTGACATTCATGTTTCATTGTAATTTCAAAGAAATGCTTGAAATTTAGATTGTTCTATTCATTTATTCATCAAGCATTCAAATCAGGGCTAAATAACTTCTCACTTATTTTCTTCTATCTCCCACCCTATCATATATCATAGCCCAACCACATTACCTTAGAAATGATAATTCACAAAGAAAACAAAAGTTAGAACATCTGGAGTGCACGCATCATCTTTAAAGGAGGAACTGTTATCATATTTGTATTGAGTCATATAATCTACCCTAATCCATGTTTGATGATTTTATATCAAGCCAACCTATTTAATAATCGAAATAGTGTTCGAGTCAACACACATTCCATAAACCATTAAAATCAATTAATCATACCCTTAACAAAATAAAGATGCACCCAATTCAGATATCAGTAAAAACCAAGAAAACCTTTATAAGGATTCATACAATACAGAGAAGAAACGAAAGGGAAAAAAAATCCTCAAATGGCACTAGTCAAACTTGTCTTTCACACAGAGTCTGGCTATTCTGTTTGACACTAGCCCAACTGATCTATTCTTAACGTAAGTGGATTTCATCCCTGAGATTGTACCAATAAGAGCAACGTGACTCGCTATCTACAGTTTCCATACATAGCTGCGTAAACTCTAGGCACAACTGAAATGAATAAAATCACCACAAATAGCTGGGGCAAAAACCAGAGACTGAAAAACTGCAAAGATTAAGCGGTAAAGTGCCAACCTATCCGTATACTAAAATAATTCAATTGGATAAAGTAGTAAAATTTCCTCAAACTAAGATCAATTGATAAGTTCAATGGTGTACTATAAATCCTTCAACAACGATAAGAGCACGAATTTTGTTCCAATCATCGGGCAAACTCAATAAACAAAACAACAAATACCAATAATCCGAATACGAAACCTCCAATTCAAACTAAGAACAAAACATATGAGCACATACAAGCACAAAAGACCACACCTTTTTGTCCTCAGAAATGGGCAAAATGGGCTGCTTCTTAGCAGTAGCAGCCATGGGCGATAAGGAGTTAAAGTGACGCCGTTTTCGATCAGACTCACCTGTGCTCCCCATTGGAAACCCTAGAACCCGCAAACACTTCCACTCACATTACACCAGACACACCCCCACATAAGAAAAACGGGCCCTAATTCAATCAATCCCTTTTATACAACAGCTAGGCAGGCACACCATCAAACCCTAAAAATTCCAGCACAAACCCTAGCTGGAAAAAGCCCTAGAAATTTTCCCAAAAAGAAAAAAACAGTTTATTTTACTTTTCTGCTCTCTTAATCCCCAAATTCTCCAACCCTAATTCAAATTCCACAACTGCAATTCAAAACCCTAATCTCTCAATCTTAAGATTGTCAAGGAATTTTGATCCATCAGATCTCTCTCTCTCTCTCTCTCTCTCTCTCTCTCGCGTTCTCGGCTGAGACTGGAAGCCCTCAACACACAAACACTCAGAAAAAATAAATTATAAAATAAAATAAATAAAATAATTTGACTTTTTTATGGTTTTGTAAATTTTGTGCAACAATATTTAAGAAACTGAAGGGGCAAGCGTGGAATTGTGTGAATTTTAGAACGGTGTTTTGGGGTAGAGAATGACGTGTGATTGGTTGGGTGTGAGGTTGCACGTGGTGCGAGAAGCAGGGGATTATTTGGTCAGTTTCACCCAGTCTCTGCATGATGAAACTGCCACTCTGGTTGCATATGTTGTTGCCAGTTGGGCTCTCAATTTGAGTGACTTTGACTGTTTTAGTTAGTGCGATAAACTAACTTTTTTTTCGACTATTCTCTTCAACTAACGATCTAACTTACTAATGATATCGATTATCGTAAAAGAAAAAAATACAAAAGAAAAAGGTATCAGCCTTACAACTTTTTATTTAGTACAATGATACTTTACATTAAACAGAGCATGATTTGGTTTTAAGACACACAATGGTCAATCATCATAATTTGGTATACAACCTGAGTCGAATCTAAAACTTTACACTTATAAAATGAAAAGAAATATCACTACCCAGTTTACAACTCTTAACAAGAAAAACAATGAGTAATTGTAAAAACAAAAATCATTGTGCAACTCATTTCTTACAATTTTTTAATAATAATATAATAATAGTCTAACACTAAGGGTCGAAAAATTATTGTCGAACTCATCATCAAGAGTTCAAATCTAAGACTTTGTACTTACACGTGAGAAATATCATTAAAATTATCTAGTTATTTCTCATATTTAATCATTCACTTATATATGAAGAGAGATTTGTGAGCAGTGGTTGACAATATACAAGATTTTCTTGATTTATTGCCACAAAATGTTAACTAAGGTTTAGGTGAAGTCGTTTAAAAGATATAATCTCCACTATAAAAAAATAAAAAAAACTTTGGTTAATCTTTATTTTATCTAAATTAAGACTTTGAAAGATTAACCTAATTTAATAATAAAAAAATATCTGTCTCTAAATTCACAAAGCTTAATAACAAATCTGTATCTAAATTCAGATTAAAGAATATAGTAAACAATTTAAATTTTTAACAATAACAAATAACATGAAAGTGCAAACATTAAAAAAAAAATCCATCTTAGAATAATCACTAATTTTCCTAAAAGAAATTCGTATAAGAATGCAAATGCATAGCACCCAAATACATCAATCAAAACAAAATCATTCAAATTGATATCCATTCATTACAAAAACAAAAAATAAAAATATAGAAGAGTTATTTCACAAAATATTGTGAAATGTATATCAATTTTTCTTCCCTTCAAGAATTAAAATTAACACCTACTACAATTTTTTTTTTTTTCAATTTGAGTTTTGCTTGTCTCTTTATTTTGTAATGGAAGCAATTGGTGAGCTTGATTTTATGGTTAGCTTTTACGTATTTCAGAAAAAATAAAAAATAAAAAATAAAAATAAAAATAAAATTTACCTGCTGAAATCCTTTGGTGGGACTCTTGTTTCTCTTCTCTTCGTTAAATTTCACGATGCATAAATGACTTCACGAAACTAGCTAGTCTGATTGGGAGGTTCTCGTATCTCCAAATTAGCTAAAAAGTTTAGATCTGAGATGATGGAGTTCCCCCATGAGCGAGAAGGGGAAGGACCGTTGCGGCGTTCCCCCTGTAAATGTGAAATAAGTAATAAGACGAAAGTTGATAACCCTAATCTTACCGTAAAAATGAGATAAGAAAGCACACAAAAGTTATAAAATTTCACATCTACAATACCATATCGAGTAGGTTTATATAGAGAAAGGTTAGTGACAAAAGACTAGCCTTTGTACATTGTATTTAAGGAGTTATTATTCACGCTCAAAAAAAGTTATCATATACGCATTTTTTCATTCTAATAAATTAAATTGTACAAAATGAGTGAATTATGTCTTTTCTAAATTGTGAATAACATTTATGTAAATTTATTTTGTTGATATTTCTTTGAAAAAATGTAGATAAGAAAATATTATTAGATGGGTCTACTACATTGTATTGAGAAATTAACATGGTTACAATCGTACAACATAGCCCTAGTTCATGGAGAGAAAAACTAAGAATAAAGCTTTTGTCGACCCTACCTTTCGCCTTAGGGTCAAGAACAATCCTGTTTTATCTTAGAGTCAGCGACAATCCCTCTTGGTTTTTTCCTTCTCTTTATTTCTATGTCTCTTCTAGTTGTGACTTTTTTTCGCTCTTTTGAAGAAAGTCTTCATCTTTTGCAGTTGTTCTCACATTGTCAAAGAGAGTCTTGTGTTTATTTATTTATTTTTGTGCACTTGACAAATAATTAGGAGAAGAAAGTTAGACATTTTTTGAAGATGACGCATGACATGGCTTCTTTGTTGATGATTGCAATATCACCAAAGTATAGCACAATCTTTCCTCATGGTGCTTTTATCATAGTTCTCCAATTTGCAAGGTTCAATCATCATGAACGTTATTTTTGTGTCATTTTTATTAAACTATATTTGACAAATAAATTTTACAAAAAAAATCTTTTATACACGTGTACATATTGAAGAGTACACTAATACTAAGAAATGAACACACATAATCTAACACAAAGAAAGAAATTAGACACATGGGCTTCAATTACTTATCATTGTCACTCAGTAACATAATGTTATTTTCTCTCAATTACATAATGTTTCTCACTCAATTACATAGTCACATTGACTCTTATTTAAATAGAGTTAATATTGCACTTGCACTCAATAAAGGTAGGAACAAAAACAATAAAGCATTCAAAATTCGACTTAAAACTACACATTACCTGACAATTCATTTTAATGTTATTAATTTATCTAAAAGAAGCAGTGTAAGGTTGAGGATAACATTTTAAATGTATTTCAAGTAAAAACAACCACAATCAACCACTATCGATTGCCACCGAAAATTTCAAATGGAAGAAATATGAATTTGGAGAAGATAACCATAATGAAAGCCCCAAATTTCATCATCTACCCTCAAAAAACTTTTTACGCCTAAATTCAATTTCTTGAGCCTAATTCGAGTCTTGTAGTAAGCTCGATTCGCAACATTTTTTCACCAAACTCAAAACATCATACTTCAAAGTTTCTGTCAAAATAAGCTAACTATGAACTTGAAAATCACTGGAGCTTCCGTTTGTTCAATTGTTTTTCAGAAAATGACTTAAGGGTATGTTTGTGAGAAACTTGATTTAGGCATAGTGATGAAAAAATAGATCACAAAAAGTTAAATAGGAGTCCTAAAAACTACACCGGTGGTGTACTTTATTATTTTAACGGCATTTTCGAATCAACTAATGTAACCGGTGGTGTGGAGACCATTGATGTAATGGAACCTAGGGTAACCGAGGATATGCGGACACACCTGGATCAACGTTTCTTCAAGGAGGAGATGAGGACTGCCTTTTTTCCATATGCACCCCTCAAAGGCCTCAAGCCCTGATGGGATGAGGCCTCTGTTTTTTTCAGAAATACTGGGATATAGTCGGTGGTGATGTTACCTGGGCAGTCCTGGATTTTCTATCTTCAAGGAGGATGCTTTGGCAAGTTAACTTCACCCATGTATGCTTAATCCCAAAACAAAAGAACCGAAGGAAATGGCGCATCTCCGTCTCATAAGCCTATGCAATGTGTTAATGAGACTTATATCAAAGGTTTTGGCCAATCGATTGAAGGTACTACTACCCCGCATCATATCACCAAATCATACTGCTTTTGTCCGTAGTAAGCTGATATCGGATAACTTGATTACGGCCTCTGAATTTGTAAATCCCCTATCTAGATGGAGAACGGCTAAAAAAGGGTTCCTATCGCTCAAGCTCGATATGAGCAAAGCTTACGACCGAATCGAGTGGTCTTATCTTTGGAGGGTGTTGCAAAAACTGGGCTTCCCCCCACCGTGGTCAAATCTCATTATGGCTGCGGTTTCTACTGTGGACTATTCGGTCATCGTCAATAGGATTCCCAAGGGCTTCATTCATCCGTCCCAGGGTTTTCGACAGGGTAATCCCTTTTCTCAATACCTTTTCCTCCTCTGCGCAGAAGGCCTAGCAGCCCTATTGGATGTAAGGGAGTGATACGGCTTTCTGTAGGGCTTTTCTCTATGACAAGATGCACCCACAATCTCTCACCTTTTGTTCGCGGATGATAGTTTTATCTTCACTTGGGCATTGCTAGGGGATTACAATCAAATTGCCGATGTACTACGAGTCTATGACCGAGCCTCGGGCCAGGTAGTTAATATACAAAAGAGCGAAATGTGCTTTAGTAAAAATGTCAAGCGCCCTGATAGGGAGAGAATGGCAAGGGTAATTGGGGTGAATATCGTTGACAAACATGATCGTTATTTGGGCTTCCCGACTATTGTGGGTCGGAACCGCCACCAATGCTTTGGCTTTATTAAGGAACGCCTCTGGAAGAGACTACAGGGATGGAAGGGTTGCAGCGGGGAAGGAGTGACTTGTCAAAGTTGTGGCGCGAGCAATTCCCATCTATCTTATGAGTTGCTTCTTATTGCCAAAACATTTTTGTGATGACTTAAACAGACTAGTGGCGAGATTCTGGTGGAATGGGTTTGAGGGAAAGAAGAAGATTCACTAGCTATCTTGGGATAAACTCTGTACTCCAAAGGTTACAGGTAGATTAGGTTTCCATTACCTACGTGCGTTTAACTTGGCTTTACTGGCCAAACAAGCTTGGAAAATTATTATGGATCCCAATTCCCTTCTTGCCAGAATTCTAAAGGCCAAATATTTCCCATCAATGTCATTTATTAAGACTCCAATGAAGCCGGACTCTTCCTTCATCTAGAAAAGCATTTGCGCCGCTCGGGTGATGATGAAATAGGGGGCCCGCTGGAGAATTGGCGATGGCACAAGTGTCAACATATGAGACGATCCTTGGATCCCACTTCCAGTCCCCTTCAAGATTTTTTTGCCAAAGCCTATTGGTTGCTAGGCCAACATGGTGGCGGATCTTTTTGACCGGGAGTA